CACTCATGCTTGGAATAACTCTGGCTTCCTTGGAATAGCGTGGAAAATTCAGTTTTTCTGGCTCTGGTTGGCAATCATGGGAGAAACACATCTGGACGAACTCATCAGATAAATACCCAGAGGCAAAAGAAAATATGTGGTGTGTTTACCAGGGTGGGCTGGGCTGGATGAAAAACCTGCCCACAAGTCCAGCTTCCATAACTCTGTGTTGCTGATACCATCATGTATTTTGTTCTTCCTTTGCAATGTAAGTTTTTTTGCTTTGGGTCAATTTGAATTTAAAAAAAAAAAAAAAAAAAGAAAGAAAAAAAAAGAAAAAAGTTAAACCTGGTTTAAAACCTATTTTTGGTTTATGTTCTGTTTATTTCTAATGTAATGTTTTAATAACATAATACCACTTTACACCTCTTCTCTCAATGTTTGTTTGTCTCTTCTGCTCCTGTTCCCTCCTCCGGTGTTACGTGATTTTGGGGAGGTGTTTGGGACTCAAGTGGGAGTTGCCTCATGAATTATAAGGTGACTTTTTACCAGGAAATATGAGCATAAAAGTCACGGAATGGTTTGGGTTGGAGGGGATCTTAAAGCTCATCCAGTCCCATCTCCTTTAGCAGGGACACCTTCCACTATCCCAGGTTGCTCCAGCCTGGCCTTGGACACTCCCAGGGATGGGGCAGCCACAGCTTCTCTGGGCAAACCTGTGCCAGGGCCTGCCCACCCTGCCAGTTAAACAAACCCCACTGCAGAGCTGGGCTTTGGGAGGGGGAACAATCTGCTCCTTACTGGGAGTGCTTGGCTTTTCCCTGCTCACGTTCCAGCTCAGCCACTCCAGGGGTTTCTGACAGGCTCCCCTTTCTTCCTCAAGCTCATGTACTGACTAAGGTATGAAAATGGACCAAATAGAGGTCATATTTTGCTGTCTGTTTACTACTTACAGAAGCTGAATAAGGGGGATGCAGGTGAATATTCCTGGCACGCGAATTGCAACTGGAACATTCGGTTTTGGTCGTGGGAATAGTGCACAACCAGGAGCTGCAGTGAGGTTTTTAAGACCCTAAAAATTGGGAGTGGAAGGAGACTGGATCTAAAGACATTGCTGCTAAAGGGTAATGGGGGGGGGGGGGGGGGAAGATGTTTTTCATTGCTCAGTAGCAAACTACACAAACATCACCGGGAGAACATTCACTGTCCATCCACCAGTTGTGTTTAGAGCTGTGGATGGTTGTTACTAACACGCTGGCCAGGCTTTAGCTGGTCTATTTACTGAATGCTGTGCTAAAGACTTTGTTCCTGTTTATGTATCGTGTTTCCTGTTTTGAGTGTTCACTTGTTAAGTTTAAAACAATTAATGACTAATGCTGCCATTTAGAAAAACCCGATTTACAAGCTGTTGACAAATGACGTGTTTAGGATATACAGTCTCTCTATATATTGGCAGAAGTGGGTGAGAGGGAAATGTACTTATTTTATAGGGCAAAACATGGGGGGCTTTTTGACCACAGTGAGTCAGAAAGAAAAAAAAAATTACCAGAATTACCAGAAAAAATTACCTTTGAAAGAAAAATTACCAGAGCAAAGAACAATCCTTCCCCAGAAAGCCTGGACTGGGACATATAAATTCTCTCTAGCCTTTCCCCTGCTTTGGTTGGGGTCACCTGCACCTCAGAGGTGGTGGAATAGCATTGAAAGGCTAAATTTTGTTCTTTGTCACTGGCATATTGATTCTACTCCTTGACTTAATGCCATGAGCCAGAGTAGAGCTCAACGTGGGATTTAATCCCATGGCAATAAGAAACAAAGCAGACATATCCATTGCTCCCTGAAACCAGGCTAGCAGGAATCCTTCAGCCGGTGCCTTCCCCGGGGAACCACAACGTGCAGCTGGAACAGCGAAAAAGTTGGGATCGAACGCTGCCTCCTTGGCTTTTATTGGGAAATCTCCAGCTGCCTCGGGAAGAAGTCGGAGCTCCAGCTGTTTCCTCCACATCTGGGCTCTCTGGTGCTGCTGTTTGTGGGGTCCCAGGTAAGTTTTGAATGTCTTAGTGGTTGCGAGGAGAGGGTGTTTGACCCAGAGGTGCTTGTGTGAAGGGTCTGAAAGCCTCTCTGTGCCCTCTCCCGGCAGGTTTCTCAGGGTGGGGCAGTTGGTGTAGGCTGAAAACAAGTGTGTTTGAGGGTGGTGGTGCTGCAGGGTCAGTATTTCCCACTCTTGGACTTGATTTGTTGCAGTGCTTTTTGCAGACTCCTCAGCAGCCCTGAAATACCCCTGGAAAGTCTGGGAAAGGTGAAGGAAAATCAAGCTTACAGGCAGTAGGTTATGCAAGGGTAAATGCTTTTAGGAGAGAATTTAGGTCTGCAAGTAACAGATCCACAGCAAAGAGCATCTATTCTTCGTTAAAGAGCACAAAATT